CCGACCCGCGGCATATCATACGCCGCTATTTAGTTGTTTTATTTTCTACTTTTCAGTAATTCATAATTTGTGAATTCGACAGTACCAATGCTGCCATTGAAAATATTTGCTTTAAAACACAATCAGTAGGTCGTTAAGAACGACACTTCCCCACCCTCCTTTTCCCCCATCCCCTACAATACCCCCCACCGCGTGAAAGCAGCCTCCTCTTAGTTACCTCCCCTAAGTTTAACATAGTTTCAAACTAAATTATCTGCCCCTAATAGCCGTCACTAAACCCGCTCTATGATTGTAAACATTTAGCTTGAACCACAGCTCACCAGACCATGTAGGGGCGGGGTGGTAGGGAGCGCGCTTACAGCTTGTTTTCTAGCGCCTCCCAGAAGAGAAATATATATATATATATATATATATATATATATATATATATATATATATATATATATATTTATATATATATATATATATATAATATATATATATATATATATATATATATATATATATATATATATATATATATATATATATAGATCCTTTAACATATACATGTAACAACACATTTACTCTCGTAACCTTTCACACACAGCATAACACTTATCTACGACGATAGAGGAGACACTTGGCTCTTTTCCTAGCACATTTTTATTACCACAATACACAACACAACCAAAACACTGTCTATTTCATTCTCTTTCCACGTGCAAAACAAAGCTAACGAATACTTAAATGCGTCTCTCCAACAGTCAACTACAAGCATTATGCTTATCAGAAAAAAAAATGAACATTCAATCACTACATGAACACAACCGCTGTTTCACTTTCTACACTGATAAGAAAGCAGCCATCCAACTCTACATAAAAGAACTACATAAACAAAGCAATTAACATCACTGAATGTTGGACAAATCACTGCCATGTAGCCCACACAGATGCACCACAACTCGACACACCAGGGGCGGAACTACAGTGCCCCCAGACCCCCTAAACGGCGTGCCCCCCCTCCCCCGCATTGCGGGGGGGGGGGGGGCACGCCGTTTAGGGGGCCCACAATCATTTTTTAAGTTAAAATTAATTTTCTTGCATTTTTGACCTGATGGTTGTTTTGAAAATAGAATACTGTAGCTGCGGTTGGAGTATTTTTATTGTATAGACACCATTCCACGCTCTTGTATATTCTTTTTCCTATAATCAAACACACGCTATTGTCAGCAAAATTCTTTTGAAAAAACATCAATTGCGCGAGAGGCCGCTAGATATTAAGACGGCTTTTTGAGACCATTCCAAATTTGGTACTGATGGATAAAAGCACATTGGTGCTTTGTTTTCCCTTTTAAGTTCCTTTCTCAGACCTCCCCTCCCGCTCTTAGCTATGAAGAAGCGCATAGATAGCGCCTCAACAACTAAGCTGGCTCGTATCGGAGGTAGTGTAGACAAACTAGCGGTCCAACAACAAAGCTGGCTCGAATCGGTGGTAGTGTTGACAAGCTAGCGCTCCAACAACTAATATCCAAGAAATAAAGTGCCGACAATGTTTACATTTAATAACCACTGTTCTAGAAAACAAGGCAAACGTCTCAAATAAATACACGAATGATAGTGTGTTATATATATATATATATATATATTATATATATATATATATATATATATATATATATATATATATATATATATATATATATATATATATATATATATATATATAATAGTCGTCCCGGCCAGGCCCTGCTCTTGCTTCTGTGAAAAACCTTTCTGTTAAAGACCATTACCTGTGTGTTTAGTAATCATCATACACCCGGCGTTGCCCACCCAAACCACAACCAATTAAAACCAAAACAACAAAACGCAAACATAACGCTAACACAATTACAAATACAAACGAAAACAAAAACCTAGCAACAAACCCAACCACAACCACAAACACCAATACCAACACAAAAAACAACGTAAAAGCAAACGAAAACAAACCAAATCCAAACACAAAACCAACCAAAAACACAAATACAAACCCAAAGAAAAAAACACAAACACAAACAAAAACAAAAACGAAAAAAGAAAGAACAAAAACGAACCAAATCAAAACGCAACCACTAACGCAAACCCACCGAAACACAAAGAAAACACTAACGCGAACATAAACGCCCGTTTATCACCTGTTTTAGCTAAATGAACGACTATAGTACCCCAACTTATTCATAGTCTTTTGCACTCACTTAAACGAACGCGCCTGTTTCAATTTAATGAACAATTATAATACTCCAATCTTATCCGTAAAATACCTACAACTTTGCACTTGATCAATCCCCGCTAATTATGTAATTATTTTTTTTCCCAACACCAAAACAAAGTAATAAAAAGTAAATTCGTTTCCACTAATGCAATGGTTTTATAAAGGGAAGTAATTGTGTTTTCCTAATTTATCTAAGGGAAGTAAGTGCTATAGGACTAAATAAAGATATAATTATAATTTTTGTAAAAGATGATATTTTTTTAAAACTTGTGTTTAATGAACATGCCGAAAATTATTACTTTCAGTTTGATAAATGAAAATTATTTCCCAAATCTTTCAATATTAAATTTTTAACTCATAAATTTAGACCTTAAGGACTTTAATTATCTAACACTTAAATCCATGGAAGTATGTCCACGACAAACATATTTATCTTTACATACAGAATTAAGCTTTATATATTAGATATATATATATTAGTTTCGTCACGGGCACCTTGATAGTGGTTTTGTAAATAACAGACAGATAACAGATATAATACAGTAGTGATATTATATAGTAGCTAAGACATGCTGTTGCGTAAAAAATTTTTTTTAAATATACACTTGAGCTGTAGTGTGAAAGATAGGCAAACGTTCAAACCACTTCCATAAATTATTTCCCTTTTTTCAAATAGCCAAATAGGGGTGTTCATAAGCTCCTTTTAATAGATTTGTAATAATCAAATTAAGCAGCAATTACTTATCTTAATTATTATTTTAAAAAAGAAATAAGTACTAAAGAATGGTATAGTATAATAATGAAATATAGTTAAAACTAATAATATAAATACAAAAAAAAACATACAAATAATCATAACACGAGACACCATTACTTATACAAAGCTTCATGATTTATATACTTTTGACCGACCTAATGATTAGAAGTATTAAGGCAAACATAAATGAAAACAGAGATTTTCAAAACAGACCAATGCACTCATACACATGACATATTGTTGTGATTAGATTTAATTGAATTTTGTTTTTCAAAACCCGATCAGGCCAGAAATGAGTATCCTATGTTCGTATTGTATATATATATATATATATATATATATATATATATATATATATATATATATATATATATATATATAAACAAAAAATATTTTGCGGGGTGGCCCATTTTTTCTAGTTCCGCCACTGCGACACACGACATAAATAACAATCGGAGATTAAGTAACACTGACACAATACCAGTACTACAGTACCAGAAGACACCAGCAGCAAATGGAACACCGTCACAGAATCTCAACAGATGTTACCAGTATTCTAGGCTAAGTTACAGAAATGGCCACAACTTATATTATATTTTATTAATGTATGAGTCAAAAGCGAATTCATTTAAGATATAATATAATAAAAACATAAACATCTTCGACATATTAATAGATTCAGATATTTAGCAGAAATCTATAAGGTAGAATACAAAATACTTCGAATATTTATTTATTATTTTACTACACACTAGCCGTTATTGGCTAGACTTTGCTCCAGCTAATTATAGGCAAATCCACATTTAAATGTTAACGCACATATGTATGTTTCATAATAAAAATGTATAAAGAAACATGTATAGAGCTACGATTAAAACAATTAACATACACGTCACCTTCCCTTCCTCAATATGATTCGTTACACAAATATAATAAGCATTAGAGTCAATATGACAGTGTCTTTTGAGAAGCCTCTAAATCATGCCATGTGTCCATACCATCAGAGTGCTTTTGTCTTGACAAGGCTAAGCTATTTTTAAATAAAACAATTATAAAAAACAACAACACGTTTTTGAAATCTCTGAAGATAAAAAAAATAAAAATCATCTACTTTCTTTCATAAAAAAATTGGTCACTCAAAAAATCGTTTACATATTTTAGTAACCAAAGTTTTTTTAAAAGAAAGTAGATAATGAGTAGTGAAGAGTATTTCCGTATGCTGCGTACAGGACCTAATGATTGAATCTTTCCATCTACATCGTGACCATTGTTAAAATTCTACTTTTATGTGGCTGGGGAATTCACACCACTACTAAATATGCATATTCTGATAATTGAGAAATAAATAATATAATTTTTTCCCAAAAAAATAAAATCAATTTCAATAGTTTTTAACAATAAAATATAACACTAACAAGTATATTGGCCAAGGACATAGTTAAATATCTATAAATACTGCTTAACACCAAAAGTCAATAATTAACAAACATAAACATTGTTTCACCAAAAATAACCATTTGACATAAATGTTTCTTGCTAGCAGTGTTTCTTCCAAACTTTTTTTCTCTGGTGGGGGCGCACTACATTTTCCGTGGATGGGGGTGGGGGAGGACACTGGTAAAAGTATATATTTTCTACATAAATTCCAATTTCGTTCGGACTAAAGTGACCCACGCTTTTCTTTATAGTTATTTAAAGAGTAGTACATAATTTATTTTCTAATTTTTAGTGCATTATTACATAAAATCTTATTATTAAAACTTTTTTTTAATTAATTGTTTTTAGTCTAACCATTTCCGAAAGCAATGAAACATGATTATGTTTTATATACTTGTTAATACATTTTTGCAATTTTTTTTACAAGCGTGGGACGTGGGCATAAGCAGGATATGTATCTAATAATGTCTCTGAATAGAGAAGAAATTGTCATTAGATAGGACACTTTTTGACACCTACTGACCCAGCACAACTGCTAACATTATTTCTTTTCCCGTACACTCTGTCTTATCTATTAAATCGTGACTTGAAAAAAAAGGAGTTTTTAAAAATTTTAGTATTAATATCGGCTACACCAACTTGAATGTTGAACATTGTAGAAGTAGTTCACTGAGGTATGGTCTTCTTACTCTTAGAAACCTTAAAAGGTTTTAATTTTAATCTTCAAATTAATATAGCAATAAATGTATCATAGCATTAATAACAGATGCATTATTTGTAGTACTATTTGACGGACTTAATGTTACAAAGTTAGAGGACATTAAATAGACGTTAGGAGACACAATTAAACATCCGTTAAATTACACAATTAGACAACCGTTAGATGACACAATTAGACATATGTTCGGAGACACAATTAGACTAAAGTTAGATGACACAACTAGAGATATGTTAGGAGACATAATGAGACTGAAGTTAGATGACACAATTCGACTGAAGTTAGATGACAAAATTAGACATATGTTAGGAGACACAATTAAACATCCGTTAAATTACACAATTAGACAAACGTTAGATGACACAATTAGACATATGTTAGGAGACACAATTAGACTGAAGTTAGATGACATAATTAGACCTATGTTAGGAGACACAATTAGACTGAAGTTAGATGACACAATTAGACTGAAGTTAGATGACAGAATTAGACATATGTTACGAGGACAGTATTGTGTAATGGTGACTACCTAGGACTTCAACTTTTGTAAAAGTAATTTCACCTTTATCCCCTTGAATTGTCTACAGCGGTCACAATGTTTTCCCCTGCTCTCCTAACGTTGCTCCTTGTGGGTGCCATCACTGGCATGCCCGTCCAAGAGGACATTTCCGGCACCATCACCATCCAGATCCGTTCTGAGGAAGCCCAAATTCCGGTAATAAAATTATTACAAACTTGCTAAGGATTAGAGTTCAGAGTTTGCCTAGAGATTACATAAGGATAATACATGATAATAATTTATTTACTGATAGGTAAAATTGAGAATATCTAGGCCAATATGTTTAAAGTTTACTTACTTAACTTAATCCTCATCACTCCCTGTGGAGTATAGGGCAGCAACAAATCTCCGCCATTCCACCCTGTCCTGGGCGAGCCACTTTAGTTCATGCCAGGTTTTGCCAGTAGCCTGTACTTCTTCTTCCATCTCCCTCCTCCATGTTCCCAGTGGTCTTCCTCTATTTCTCTTTCCGGGTGGGTTCCACTTCAGCGCCATGTTGGGGAGTCTTTTTTTGCTCATGCGTAGGACATGGCCCAGCCATCTCCATCTCCTCGTTCGAACTTCTGAGACAATGTCGTTTAATCCTGTCCTTCGCCATATTTCCTTGTTCGGGACTTTGTCGTCCCACTTTATCCTGAGGATGCGTTGGAGGGATCTTCTTTCAAAGCCTCTGAGTCGGCTCTCTCCTTTCTTGTTTAGTTTCCATGACTCTGCAGCATAGAGGAGTACAGAACGTACATTTGACTTATAGATCCTTATTTTAGTTCTCTGCTGCAGTGAGGATGATTTCCAAATCTTAGCGAGTCTGTTGAAAGCTTGTGGTGCCATTGCTATTCTGGTGGCAATTTCTTTCTCCATGCTGCCATTTGCTGATATATAGCTGCCGAGGTACTTAAAGTCTTCGACCTCTTCTAGCTCTACTCCATTCGCAAAGGTCTTGAGAGCACTTTTGGTTTTTATTTTCATTAGCTTGGTTTTTCCGGAGTTTATCTTTAGCCAAACGCTTTTGGCAATTTGCTCTATTCTTGTGGTTTTCGCTAGGATGTCTTTTTGGGCATGTGAAAGTAGAGCCAAGTCATCAGCAAAGTCACAGTCCTCTAGGTGGTTGGTAAGTTCCCAAACAATTCCTCTTGGCTTATCCTCATTGGCTCTTCTCATAATCCAGTCTATTACCACCAAAAAGATGACAGGTGAGATGACACAGCCCTGTCTGACTCCTGTTTTTACCTTGAACCATTCACTTTGCTGATTTTCGTGTCGCACACAGCATTGGTTATCATAGTACATGTCCTTAAGTATGTTTATGACTTTTCCTGGAAAGCCATATAGCTCTAGTATCTTCCATAATGATGGATGGTGGATGCTATCAAATGCTTTCTCGAAATCTATGTAGTTGATGTAGAGAGACGAATTCCACTCCAGGGACTGTTCCACGATAGTGCGCAAGACAAATATTTGGTCGTTACATGACCTGTTGGCCCTAAAGCCAGCTTGTTCTTCACGAAGGATCCCATCAATTCCTTTCCTTTCCTCATTCTTTGTAATAGTTTACAGATAATGCAATATAGTAAAATTGAATCGCAAATAATGTATCGTTCTGTTAATTGTATGTAGTGATTGTAATAGTTTTAAAAGCACTAAATGACAAGCGATGCTTCTTACGTACATTGTATTACATTTGTGTATGTCTATGTAGTAGGGGTTTGTCTATGTAGTAAGAGCCTGTATAAGTTGTAGGGGCTATGTAGTAGAGGCCTGTCTATGTAATATGGTCCTGTCTATGTAGAGGTTGCTGCTTATTTAGAAGTGTTTTCTCTAAATAAAATGGTAATGGCTAGATAAGAAAAAGAGATAAGCAAACCCCCCCCCCCCCCCCACAAACACCAATACATAAAGGCACTCACACACACACACACACATAAAGACGCCCAAACGCACACCTTGTAAAGACACTAATGCACGAACACATGCAGACACTCACATACATCAAGACACTTAAATACATGAGATAAAAATATCGATCTTCCCCCAATACAGGAGGACATTTCTGCTACCATCTCAGTCAACTTCAGGGCTGATGAAGTGCAGGTAAGAAAAACAACTTTGAAACACTCGAGGGGAAATTTGTAACTAAAATAAATAATTCTTAGTAAATAAATGGTTTTTAAAACCGTGTTAAATTTCCATGTAAACATGAAAGATTTACTAACCAAGTGCACTCATACATTGAATGGAAATTAAAGAGTTATATATGAAATTGAATCTCTCTCTCTCCCCCACCCCAACAAACTTGTAGAAAAGAGAGGAGGACATCTCAGGTACCATCACCATCACCATTAAGGCTCTGGACGGATGGAGTACCACATCAATCCTTCCCGCTGTGTTCTCTGTAAGATAATGTCTCAGATTATATTAAATGTTCATTTAAAGAACACACACACACACACACACATATATATATATATATATATATATATATATATATATATATATATATATATATATATATATATATATATATATATATAATAGTGAGTGTGTGTGTTCTTCTATATATATATATATATATACATACACACATATACATATACATATACATATATATATATATATATATATATATATATATATATATATATATATATATATATATATATATATATATATATATATATATAGATAGATAGATAGATAGATAGATATAGAAATATATATATATATAGATATAGATATATAGATATATATATAGATATATTTATTTATATGTATGTGTGTGTGCTTATATATATATATATATATATATATATATATATATATATATATATATATATATATATATATGTGTGTGTGTGTGTGTGTAAATGTGTTGTTGTATCTTGTATATAATATAAAGATTTAAACATTTATATAGAAATTAAAAGGTCAGTAAATTTCTTCCCACAGAAGAGAGATGGACAGGACATTACTGGAACCATCACCATCCAAATCAAATCTCAAGAAGAACAGGTAAAAAACACATTTTATACACCGCTATTATTTTAGAAGAAGAACAGTTAAGCAATACATTTTATACACCGGTAACATTTTAAAAGAAGTAAAAAAAATCTGTATTAAACCCTTTATCTTTACTGATCACTACTAATAAAATCGGAATGAAAAAAAAATGGTGAAATAGGGAAGGAAAAGTCAACCAGATTAAAGCCATTTTTAAAGCTCTGGTAACGCGAACATTTAATGCTATTGGGATTTTAATCACTATAGTGACCTATCCAGATATCCATTAATAAAGGAAACGAAATGTGTTTAATCTTAATAATGTGTGCTTTCAATATTTAAAACAAAATTGCCTTGCAGAAAAGAGATAACATGGAAGATATCTCCGGTACAATCACCATTACCATCAAGTCACAGGAAGCATGGACCGACTACATTGGACCAGCCCTCCAAATCGCTCAAGTTGTTGCACCTTTGATTGGCAAGAAAGAAATTTCTCAAGAAGCGTGGACTGACTACATTGCTCCAGCCCTTCAAATCGCAACCACCCTTGCTCCACTAATTGGAAAAAAAGATCTTACTCAAGAAGGCTGGACTGACTTCATTGCACCAGCTATCCAGATTGCAACAACCGTTGCACCTTTACTGCTCGGCAAGAAAGAACTAACGCAAGAAGCTTGGACTGACTACATTGGACCAGCCCTCCAAGTTGCACAAGTTGTGGCACCTCTTCTAATCGGCAAAAAAGATCTTGAAGAGTCATGGACTGATTTCATTGGACCAGCTATTCAAATCGCAACTGCAGTTGCACCTTTAATTGGAAAGAAAGAGGTCTCACTACAGGCATGGACTGATTTCATTGGACCAGCTATTCAAATCGGAACTGCACTTTTACCCTTAGTTGGAAAGAAAGAGATCTCACAAGAGGCATGGACTGATTTCATTGGACCAGCTATTCAAATCGGAACTGCACTTTTACCCTTAGTTGGAAAGAAAGAGATCTCACAAGAGGCATGGACTGATTTCATTGGACCAGCTCTTCAAATTGGAACTGCACTTTTACCCTTAGTTGGAAAGAAAGAGATCTCACAAGAGGCATGGACTGATTTCATTGGACCAGCTATTCAAATCGGAACTGCACTTTTACCCTTAGTTGGAAAGAAAGAGATCTCACAAGAGGCATGGACTGATTTCATTGGACCAGCTATTCAAATCGGAACTGCACTTTTACCCTTAGTTGGAAAGAAAGAGATCTCACAAGAGGCATGGACTGATTTCATTGGACCAGCTATCCAAATCGGAACTGCACTTTTACCCTTAGTTGGAAAGAAAGAGATCACACAAGAGGCATGGACTGATTTCATTGGACCAGCTATTCAAATCGGAACTGCACTTTTACCCTTAGTTGGAAAGAAAGAGATCTCACAAGAGGCATGGACTGATTTCATTGGACCAGCTATTCAAATCGGAACTGCACTTTTACCCTTAGTTGGAAAGAAAGAGATTTCACAAGAAGCATGGACTGATTTCATTGGACCAGCTATTCAAATCGGAACTGCACTTTTACCCTTAGTTGGAAAGAAAGAGATCTCACAAGAGGCATGGACTGATTTCATTGGACCAGCTATTCAAATCGGAACTGCACTTTTACCCTTAGTTGGAAAGAAAGAGATCTCACAAGAGGCATGGACTGATTTCATTGGACCAGCTCTTCAAATCGGAACTGCACTTTTACCCTTAGTTGGAAAGAAAGAGATCTCACAAGAGGCATGGACTGATTTCATTGGACCAGCTATTCAAATCGGAACTGCACTTTTACCCTTAGTTGGAAAGAAAGAGATTTCACAAGAGGCATGGACTGATTTCATTGGACCAGCTATCCAAATCGGAACTGCACTTTTACCCTTAGTTGGAAAGAAAGAGATCTCACAAGAGGCATGGACTGATTTCATTGGACCAGCTATTCAAATCGGAACTGCACTTTTACCCTTAGTTGGAAAGAAAGAGATCTCACAAGAAGCCTGGACTGATTTCATTGGACCAGCTATTCAAATCGGAACTGCACTTTTACCCTTAGTTGGAAAGAAAGAGCTCTCACAAGAAGAGGTATGGACTGACTACATTGCACCAGCCCTCCAAATTGCTCAAATTGTGACCCCACTTATCACTGGCAAGAAAGAACTGACCGAGGAAGCTTGGACTGACTACATTGCACCAGCCCTCCAAATTGCTGAAGTCGTTGCACCACTTATCATTAATGGCAAGAGAGAACTTACCCAAGAAGTATGGACTGACTACATTGCACCAGCCCTCCAAATTGCTCAAATTGTTACACCACTTATCACTGGCAAGAAAGAACTGACCGAGGAAGCTTGGACTGACTACATTGCACCAGCCCTCCAAATTGCTGAAGTTGTTGCACCACTTATCATTAATGGCAAGAGAGAACTTACCCAAGAAGTATGGACTGACTACATTGCACCAGCCCTCCAAATTGCTCAAATTGTTACCCCACTTATCACTGGCAAGAAAGAACTTACCGAGGAAGCTTGGACTGACTACATTGCACCAGCCCTCCAAATTGCTCAAATTGTTACCCCACTGATCACTGGCAAGAAAGAACTGACCGAGGAAGCTTGGACTGACTACATTGCACCAGCCCTCCAAATTGCTCAAATTGTTACCCCACTTATCACTGGCAAGAAAGAACTGACCGAGGAAGCATGGACTGACTACATTGCACCAGCCCTCCAAATTGCTCAAATTGTTACCCCACTTATCACTGGTAAGAAAGAACTGACTGAGGAAGCTTGGACTGACTACATTGCACCAGCCCTCCAAATTGCTCAAATTGTTACCCCACTTATCACTGGCAAGAAAGAACTGACCGAGGAAGCTTGGACTGACTACATTGCACCAGCCCTCCAAATTGCTGAAGTCGTTGCACCACTTATCATTAATGGCAAGAGAGAACTTACCCAAGAAGTATGGACTGACTACATTGCACCAGCCCTCCAAATTGCTCAAATTGTTACCCCACTTATCACTGGCAAGAAAGAACTGACCGAGGAAGCTTGGACTGACTACATTGCACCAGCCCTCCAAATTGCTCAAATTGTTACCCCACTTATCACTGGCAAGAAAGATCTTACCGAGGACGTATGGACTGACTACATTGGACCAGTTTTAGCTATTTCGTAATTTTTTCTACCATACAAAAAATTCTTTGTGAATTTATAACTATAAACACCTCGTGTTTATAAAAACAAAACAAAAATCCCATTATTTTAATATGGTTGCAAAATGTTAAAACTATGAAAACAAATACGTAATAGTGACCAGTGTAAAGAATTATTGCTCTAAAAATATTTAATAAAAGCGATTAAAAATACCTCTTTTTCTTTATTTTGTTTGTGTATTTACTTAGATGATTTGACTGTTTGTTGATGTACGAATATCTAATATATAAAGTTCAATTCCGTATGTTAATAAAATGTATGTTACCGTGGTTTTGAAAGGAATTTAAGAAAAAAAAGTACTTGTTTAGCGTCAAGTGTTAAATGTCTAAAGTGCTCATTGTCTAAATTCATGATTTAAAAAAAAAATATTCTGAAAGCATAGTAAAACAATTTTCATTCTTTAAACTTACAGTAATAATAATTGGCATGTACAAAAATTCTAATTATGGCTGAATTTTTTTTACATTTAGTCCTTTATCATTCATTTTGTCCCTGGTTAAATTAGGAAAACACAATTACTTCCCTTCATAAAAAAAACATACATCAGATGAAAAATTTACTTATTTTGTTTTTATGTTGGGACAAAATTACATAACTATCACGGATTGATCAAGTACAATGTGGTAGGTGATTTAGATACTGTCTTTATTTTTTTATGCAATGTACGTACTGTTTACTAGTTATTTTTTTTTTAAATCAATAACATTTAAGAAGCTAGCTGCTCTATCTTCTTTCGGTTTGCGGGTAAACTTGGGGTATTTTAATGGTTCACTAAATTGAAACAGGCGCGTTCGCCGGCGCCCGTGCACGGTTCGATTTAGCGCCCTTGGCTATCTTGTGAGCTCTATGGTGCATAATTTCGTTTTAAATAGTGCGATAGACTATCGATAAGAAAGATTACTATAGTCTTTGAATAAATTCCGGTCGTCCTCCGTCACCCCAACAGGGTGCTATTTGGCGACCCATGCCTTCCCGTGTTCGCTATGGTGCTTACTTTCGTTTAAGTGAGTGCGAAAGACAATGAAAGAAAAAGTTGGGGTACTAGAGTCGTTTACTAAGTTGAATCAGGCGGTTTGTGTTTTCTTTGTGTTTGAGTTTGGGTTTGCGTTTGTGCTTGTATTAGCGTTTGGATTTGGGTTTGTTTTCGTTTGCTTTTTTGTTTGTGTTTTCTTTGTGTTTGTGTTTGTGGTTGTGGTTGTGTTTGTGTTTGTGTTTGTGTTATGTTTGCGTTGTTTTTTTTTGGTTTGTTTGAGTTTTGTTTGAATGTGGTTGGGTTTGTTTTTGCGCTTTGATTTGTTTTCGTTTTCTATTTTGTTTGCTTTTTTGTTTGCGTTATTGTTTGTTTTTTCTTTGTGCTTGTGGTTGGGTTTGTCGTTGTCTTTGCGTTGGTTTTTGTGTTTTCGTTTGTATTTGTATTTGTGTTTGTGTTATGTTTGCGTTTTTTTGTATTTTGGTTGTGGTTAGGGTGGGCAATGCCAGGTATACGCTGATTACTAAATACACAAGTAATTGTCCTTTACAGATAGGTTTTTCGGAGATGCCAGTGCAGGGCCTGGCTGGGACGGCTAGTCTAATGTATAAAGTTGAAATCTGTATGTTTGTGCTAGCAAACGGCAGATTCAAAAGAAATATAAGAAAATAATAAACTTCTTTGTCATAGTAATAAATATCTAAACAAATGATTCTAAAAAATCATATCGGTTTTGTATAACAACTTTCATTTTTAAAACTTATAATAATAATATTTTTTTGGCATGCCCTTTAAAGACATTTTTAAAGATGTACCACCGTTCACAAAAATTTCTAATTGTGTCTTATTATTAAAGTAATAAACACAATAGAGTGAAACATTCAAACAGACTAATTAATGCGATTTCTCCTGGCCACCTTGTTCTGAATACCTTCAACTGTGTCAATGTTGCTACCAACTCCAATAATTAAAACTGAAGCCATTTACTATGATGTAAAACTTTGGTGTAATCCAAATCCACCCAGTTGCCGGGGGCAAGGTACCAAACATGATGTCCAGTAGAGGGTTAAGAAAGTATCATTATTAAATCACTATTAAACCCCTCCTCGCCTACGCCATTGCTTTTATGCATTTGGACGTTATCGGAATTTACTGTATTGCTTATAAGTCGAAAAAGACACGTTTAACATTACTAGTTTGAAGAATAACATTCATGTTAGCCGAAACAGGTGTATTCTAAAGTTGTTTAAATTCATTTTATTGTTCATTACGATTATGTTGTCAAAAATATAAGCCTTTTTTAAAAAAGCATAACTAAAAAGTGTTTTAACGCATTTTCTTCTTAGAAGAGCCTCACATGCATGATATCATTAACATTACGGCATATCAAACCCTTGAAGAAGCCCCATCAACCATTCAATTATTACGATGGGCAACAAATAAAACGCCCGCATCAAGGTACAGTCCTTATGCTATCGACATTAGCTCAACCCCGGCTACTAACGTGTCCCAAAACCAAGAATTGAAATCAGAGTTTCTTCCAGGCATCTCTTTGGGGGGGGCCTAGCCCCCCCCCCCCCCCCCGAAAATTTTAAACCCCCCCCCCCCCCCCCCGAACGAAATGAAATTTATATAATTTCTATAGAAAATATATACTTTTAACAGTGTCCACCCCCCCCCCCCCCCCCGATGAAAGTCTACCGCCCCCCCCCCCCGAAAATTTCAAGTGCCCCCCGGAGAAAAAAGTCTGGAAGAAACACTGATTGAAATCTTGACCCATTATTCTGATACATTAGTGGTTAAACCTTTTTTTGTCATCTGAAAACGTTAGTTTTTAATCTAGTGTACTCAAAAAGGAACAACATAAAGCTTTATGCCGCCTTAAAAACCCAATCCCCTGTTACGCAAGACGTCGATAGAGAAAGAATAAGGCTTTGAGTCAGAACAGGCAAGGGCTTAGATAACTGCAAAAATACCTAATCTGTAGACTCACAAGTCTAGACGATATATTTGTGCCTCAGTTTTTAGACTTTCAGAACAAATACATGTGATGTGGTCAGTAGGCACATAAAAGAGAAAAGTAGTTTTAATCTAGAGACTTCAAACATTTCTGAAGGACCGAATTTGAACTTGTAGGCCGTGGTGTCGATGCCAAAGTTTAGCGTCGTCCGCAAAGATAAGCTATCGTTATATCATCTCTATGCCCATATTGTGACAGATATTTACAAATGTGTCTAATATAGGACAGAATACATAGCTACTCAACAGAGAATGATAAGCGCAATCACTTTTCCACGACTTAAGAAGCCACTGTACTGCAAAACCCACCTAAATGGAAAATGTCTTAGATGTGAGTTTTAATACAAATGTGTACCTCGTCGCGAGTTAGGACCTGTAGGTAGTCTGTTACTACTCTATATCTAAAAACAATAAAAAGATAACGTGAATTTTACTTGTTCAATTTCTTGGTTAACTGTATTTGTTACATCTTGTTCAATTTTGTTAATATTGATTAACCTAAAGGGTTCAAATGTAACAAAGAAAATTGTGACTAAGTTTCCGGGTGCGGGTTAAAGTAGGCCCAATATATCTATTTATATTTATAGAAATGAAAGTATGTTTATCTGTTTGTCCTATATGAATTACTACATCTTTTTTATCGGATCGCCACAAAACTTTGTGAACAGAGTTTTTTCCAGGAATCTATTCGGAGGGGGGGGGGGGAGCAGAGCCCTCCCACCCCCCGAAGAAAGTCTATCGACCCCCCCCCCCCCCACCCCCGAACGAAACGGAATTTATATAGAAAAAAAAATACTTTTAACAGTATTCGCACGCCCCCCCCCCCCCCCGGAAAGTTTTCGCCAGGGCGGCGCCCTAGCAGGAAGCAGAGGCGTAGCAACCTATTCCGGCGCCCGGGGCGAACTATCAATTATGTGCCAACCCTATTCAAACGCTGGCAAAAAGGCGCCATCCTTACATACACTCCCTTATATAAAATAATTGAGGATATCAGTTATGTATAAATCTGTTTCCTTAAATTTTATTGAAGAATGAGGATTTTTTAAAAATTGTCTACCCCTTTTGGCGCCCCATTCGATCTGGGGTCTCTGACAGAAAGCAATGCAATTTTTCTCCATAAAAATAAAAGCCAGATGCAATTTGACATTGTTCGTACGAGAGTCATAAAATTTTGGGGAGTTGGTGAAAAGGGTTTCGAGAAAGAAAAAAATTCTTAAGTGTGGCACCCTGCGAGGGTTCGATTTTTCTCATTATACGATTATGAGCTCAGAATCCAGAGGGGAATCCAGAGGGGCTATCTCATCAATTGCGGTCATAGGTAATACTAGATTCAGCAGAGGCGTAGCGAGGGGGGCGGGGGTACATATGTCCCCGGGCGCCAACCCTAGGGGCGCCAAAATGGGTGGGAAAAATTTAAAAGCTCATTTTAGCTACAGTTTTGCATTATAAATATAAAAAAATACGGGGGAGGGGGGGGGACGCCAAATTGAAAGTTTGTCTCCGGCGGGAGGGGGGGGGGGGGCGCCAAATTGAAAATTTGTCCCCAGGCGCCAGGAATGGTGCTACGCCTCTGAGATTCAGTGATAAAACTACACCAGGTTCATCCGCCAGCTCCCCGGCGGTTGAGTGGCCCAGAGCGGCCAAGACCCACCTCGGGCGACACTACGGTTTAGATGGGCTACTATAAATGTTCACTAAGTTGAATAATGAGCGCCCGCCGGCGCCCTGGCAGTTGGCGACAGCGAGCGCCCCGGGCTCTACAGAGAGTGCCTCTTTAAAGAGCACCCTACAATAGGGACACGGTGGCACACGACATTTTATAATTAAACCTAATTAGGGGCGCCCCTGCGGAAGTATAACCAGTGGCTCCCTGGAGCGCCAAGGGACGCGTCTCTAACACATGGGCGGTCGCCAATGTGTGTTCTACCTCACTATTACAGAGGTTGATTCACGTACACTCAAGGCTTTCATACAGTGAGCCTTGGTGCGTCTAGGCGGCAGTGTGGACAAACCCGCGCCCCAAAAACGAATATGTGGGTTTGTTTGTTTAAGCATTACCAAAGATTTCATTCGTTTGTCATTCAAATTTGAGAAGTTAATGCTAATACCCCTGTGGTGGTTTCTGCGAAAAAAAATTTCGATTTGGTGGCGCCCTGGCAGGGTTCCATTTAGCTACCCGGGTTTTCCCGTGAGTACTATGGTACCTTTGTTCGTCTTAATAATTGCGAAACGCTATGAATATGATGGGCTACTATAATCACTCACTATACCGAGTGAGGCGCCTTCCTACCTAGGCCACCTACTTACATACCTAACTCCCTGCCTACGTACCTACCTATCTACTAAAGTGCCTGCGCTGCTGCCTGCCTACCTACTTTCCTACCTACCGTTATTCCTGCCAAACTGCTTTCCTTCCACCCCGCCTTTCTACCCACCTCACATCCTACTTATACACACACATATCTTCGTATGTATATATGTATGTGTTAGTGTGCTCTAGGACTATGTATTTTTACATTTTTGTTGTTACGTAGAACTATTCAGTATAAAGGAGTTTCCTTTTTTTTCCGTTGTAACTGCCGCTAAAATATTCTTTTTTGTATGTGTGCATAAAATAGTGTAGGTTTATTAACAAAAGTAAATTTTAGTATGTATTTAAGTGTATATAATCATTTTCGTCAAGCCAATGTGTTCATAATCTTAAATTTAAAAACCCATGAAACTCGATAGCCAAAGATTTAGAATGAGAATAATTGCTATTTAACCAGAAACACCTATTTTCTAATTATTGTAATAATATTTTTTTAAATAAATATACACAGAGATAGATTGTTTTCTTATATAATTAATTTAAAAAGTCAACTGTATTTCATAACGAAAATTAACATAAAATACATTCGAATAGAAACTGTCTAGGGAGACTACTCTAATATTTGTAGGAATAATAGTTTTTATTTTTTTATTTTATTTTATGAGAAGAAAAGTTAATCATGTAGGTTCTATGAAATATTACCTTGCATTTAAAAAAAAAAAGATATTCGATAGGTTTAGAATGAGAAATAGTCAAAATTATTTACTATATTCATTCGTTGTTGTTTTTTTAATAATATAGTACAAAGACCTGTTTTAATTATTTTTTAAAAATCTTATTTTAATTAATAAATTATAAATGAAGATCGAGATTTAAAAAAAATAGTTTAACTGTCCCTAAACAATTGTATCAATCGCTGAGAAATTAAGAATTAATAATTACGTTTAACGCTTTATTAATTAAACGAGTTGAATTATTTCCGTTTTGATAAACTCTCTCTCTCTCTCTTTATAACTACTAACGCTTGATCATTGAGTTTCTCGAGAGAGAAATACAGGAGAGCGGTACTTATCATTGACAATGTCATTGATAATTTCATTGAGTATTTCATAGAAAATAGTGTTTGATCGGCTGGAGAGAAAGAAAGAGAGAGAGAGAGATAGATAGATAGAGAGAGAGAGAGAGAGAGAGAGAGAGAGAGAGATGTCCGCACGGGGGCTTTTATATATTAGGATGATTCGGATTTTAACTATTTAGTTATTTGCTTCCTTTGACACTAATATAGTTTAACATGAAGTAAAGTACATTGCGATTTGACCAAATAATTATTTTTCTAAACAAGTATAAGATTAACAATATATAGACTTACGAGCCGGCCCGCGGCATAACATACGCCGCTATTTAGTTGTTTCTAATTTTCAAAAATTCATAATTTGTGAATTCGACAGTACCAACGCTGACACTGAAAATATTTCTTTAAAACACTATAAGTAGCTCGTTAAGGACCATAACCCCCCCCCCCTTCCTTCCCCCCCTCCCCCCCCCCCCCCTACGTTTAAAATCGTTGGCTCTGCTTGTAAACATTTAGAGTGAACACAGCTCACTAAAACCATGTAGGGGTGGGGAGGTAGGGAGAGCGTTTGCAGCTTGTTTTCTAACGGCTCGAAGAGGAGAATTATATATATAGATAATTCACGTGGCTTGTATTTTATTAAACTTTTAAATATCGTTTACGTTTACATTTAAGTTGTTGTTGTGGTTGTATGTTAGTGATGTTATATGATTTGCTTAAGGTTTACGCTTACTATTATGCTTGCGCTTACTTTTACGTTACGGGTTGCGTTTCGGTTTACTTTAATGTTTGCGTTTAAGTGTGCGTTTACATTACCGTTTACGTTTATGGTTGTGGTTAAGGTTATACTTGTGGTTTAGGTTATATTTGCATATAAACATGTAATCGAAAATATATTTATTCTCCATAACCGTGTAGTGCCGGGTATAAAGATGCTAGTAACAAATAAGTATTGATATGACAAACAATTCTCAAATTACTAATTTCAATTTGATTTCAATGAAATTTAATTTATATAATCGTAATAATTTATAATGTATAACTATTGACATTGAAATTGAAATAAAATTTTGTTTCTTGTTTAATTTCAGCTGATTTTTTCAGCGATGCAATTGCTTTTACAACACCCCATAAGTCTTCATACATAAGATCATAATCCGCGTCTCGCTCTCTCAAGTTCTCGCGTTCATCTAATTGTTCCTCTTCTCGTGATAGATCTTTTCTTTTAGCTGTTCTATAAAGTGATCTTTTGTTTCCGTATGAGCTCTATGATCATATTTTGAATCATATGATATTTATCTATCACATCTTTAAAAGTCCCTGTATTGCTGTCTTGTAAAGAGATATCTTTAAGCTGCAAGGCTGTTCTAAACTTTAGAATTTCTAGACTGTGTAACCTTGTTTGTAAGTCGTATTTGCATAGGTTAGAGAGCTCTTGTACGATCATGACAGCCTCTTTTCGATTCTCCTCTTTCAAGTATCGAGTTTCAGATTCTTGAATTAGTCTGTCTCTTTCTACCCTGGCTCGTTTAAAGTTAGTAGCGTTGATTTCGATGGCTTAACTGATCAATGGCTTCAATCAGTAAATCTAACTGTTTTCTTTTGTTTGTGTCTTTATTGTCAAATATAACAACTCGACCTTTGCATTCTTCACTCAAATCATTCTTGATTTAATTACCAATCTTCAATTGATTCGACCCTGATTTCTTCAGGGTCTAAAGTACCAATATTTGTTAACAAATGTTTACACAAATTTCGTACAAAATCTTCGCCGAAAAGCGCCTTTAGCGATGTGACTTTCTGTTGATCTTCTTTCGTAAATCTCCCGCCAAACCTGACCACCAATAAAAGCGCATGAAAGCCGTTAGGAGTGTCTGCCATGGCGTATTTCATTGCTGCAGCAATCTGTTTGTCCGCTTCTTCTTGTGTTAAGTCTGTGTCTCCCACTTCACATTGATTTAAAAGACTTCAACGACTTCACTATGACTTCAAAGATATCAACGACTTTATTGACCTTAAAGATTTCAACGAATTCACTATGACTTCAACGACTTTTTAAACTGACTTTACTGATTTCAAATGACTTATTGGACTTCAGTTCTGACTGTATTTACTTCACTGACTTCAAATACTTAATTGACTTCAGTTTTGACTACACTGACTTCACCTTACTTCTGACTGTATCGACTTCAATTCGATTTTCTCGACTTAAATTCACAAACTCGACTTAATTTACTATTCTGTCCGTTATTCAAAATCATTCGTGGGTCAAATTCTATCTAGCATGGGATCAATGTGCTAAGACCGATGGGCTGGGGCTCGATGTGGACAATTGTGTTGCGAGCTTTCATATTGTCTATTATCACTATAATTGTGTCTGTGTAGGTGTGTTGATTGGGTCATCTGGTATAAGGCTGACAAGGAGTAACCGTACTCTTTGTCAACTATCAAATTCTTTGTTATATAATCCTCTGATTCGTTGTTTACTGATTAATCCAATCTCGGCAATCTATTACTGAGTATGTCGTTCTGCATTCTTAAGTTAAGAAAAACTTCACCAATCTCGGTAATCTTTTTAGAATGACGCTCAATAACCTCGTTAATTTCTGCTATGAACTTGTCCATTTTGATTTGCAACTTGCTTACTTTGTGTCTACCTTTTCGTTGTCTCAAATTCTGGGCTGCTTGTTTAGTTGTTGTTTGTGGCTCATAAATTCTACATTAAATTTCTTCACTCCTGTAATGTTGCCAAATATCATATCGTATGGCCCGTTTTAAAAACAAATGCTTCAACTGTTTTACACGCTGAGGGTCTGGCTATGGTGACTATAGCTGTTGGCCTGTGTATTGGTGGTGTTGTACGAATGTGTTACGTAGGCCTACTGCCACTGCGGAGCATAGTGTATCCCTAATTGCTGTGGCGTATTTGTCATTTGACTTTTGATGTAAATATTTCTGTTCTTTTACAAGGTTCTTTAAACGATGACATAAATGCTATTCTATTAATGTGTCTATATTTCTGTCTGTTGCGTTGATTATCTTGTTGGCGTCTATCATAATACAGTATTCTGCAATTTTTGTGTGTGTCCTGTTCTATTACAGTAGTAACATTGGATACTGTGAAAGTCTTCTGGTTGACTGTAGTACACCTGTATGTTATGGTTTCTCGTATTGTTTCTCTGGTCTTTTGTGTTCTGCTAACAGTTTTTTTGGCTGTCATTAGTCCATGTTTATTGGCTAACTTGGCATCTATTTTTTGCATCGAATTCTTCTTCGGTTAACAAGAAATCTGGATCTCTGTTTACCTTGTAATCTACAAATATATTAATTAAATCTTCCATAGCACTTGGGTCATCTAAAGTTTTTGCGACAAATTCTTTAACAATTTATAAACAGTCTGAATTTTTTTTGTTATTTTGTATTGTCCATGCATAATAATCACTTCATCGATAAAATCTGAATCCTCAATAGTTTTTGAATTGCTTTCCGATTTCACTGTATTCTGAACATTTGTGTCTAGTAACGAGTCAGCAATTCTACCTGACTCTTCTAGGTCTGACTCGGGTTCAGTTTTAGGGACTACTTCGTTCAATGGAGGCATGTTTAAGAGTAGTGTGGTTGATGTGTAACAACAAACAGACAAAAAGGCAGAAAAACAGCTGGTACCAAATATCCCGAACATGATTTACACAACAATACATTATCCAAATATAAAATAATTGAAAAAGTAACCTAAAAGAAAAATGAGCTACACTGTACATCACCATTACAGCCGCACCCATTACTGATAAAGCTCACGAAGCTTTTATCTGTTGATCTCTGTTGGCTTAGCTCCGCCCTCTCGTCTAGCATCTGTTTCTTTTTCTCTAATGTGATCCGCCTTTCTTAGCCAGTTCTGCCTCCAGGTAAACGATTAATTCATCATGTATCTCGTTCAATTGTTCGAATATTTGTATTTTTTAGTGATCTGACGTCATTGATGACGCCTATCACCAAAATGTTTAGGAATAACTTTTCTTGAGAATTCGCTTCGTTTTCCAAAGAATCTAAAAAAATGAAATGCATGTATAGATAATCTAGTACATTATTTTTTTCTTTAAATAAGGAAAAATCACGACTTTTAAAATATGACACCGGATCATCACAATTTTAATCAACACCCCCCCCCCCCCTATCCACCTTACTCTCGTTTCATACTCGCAAATTTGGTCTTGGAAAGCCCGCGTTTTTCCTCTAGACATCAGATCTATAAGTTAAACTACTCGGTGTTAAATCATTCTGCACGTTTTAAGTTTTAAATTAAGTAATGGGTGTTATTAAAACACAAGTGACACAAAATTAACATTTCAAAGTTCGGTACAATATCTAGAGCAGTGGTTTTTAACCTTTTTTGGAGATACCGAAATCCAGTTTTATACGCGCATTCGCCAAACCCTTTATCCTAGTTCTATCGTATGCACTGACAAATCCCATTGAAAATTGTATGTCTCGGGTGTGTATCGTGAAGGGATAGTGTGGTCAGACCCAGGCTCAGCCAAAATCGGTATTTGAAAAGCAAAACAAATGTCTAAATATTGACATTTTATAAAGTTGGTGTCGGTTTTTTCTCAAGATGTGTGGTAGAGAGTGTGTGTGTGTGTGGGGGGGGGGGGGGGGGTGAGGGGAAAGATAAAAATCGTAAAACAAATGGGAAGTCATTTACGAATGACCCCTCTGCCCCCACTTGAAACCCACAGTTATCCAAGAATAACGTGCAGTCTAGTGAATTACGAAATTTAATGTGGTTACAGAATTACTTAGTACAAAATTATCATGTGAGATGTGAATTATTATTGTATAAATATCGTAGCGTAATTAACAAAAGAGGTACTATATTTGGGTAGGAGTAATACATTAAGTAAAAACTACTACTTTATGTTAGTTAATTATACCCGATTAGTAGTGATTTGTTGTTTTCCACTAAGAATAATTCCTTTTTAGTGGATCTGATGTGATGTTTATGGTATATGATATGAATGGCACTGTATTGAATCCTGGCTTTTACGTCATGAATCAATTTGAAATGTACTTCATAGGATGTATACCCAACCAGTAATCTGACATGTGTACTTTAATGAATCGTCATAGAAAGTGTGTGTGGAGAGAGGTACTGAACAGAAATGTCAAGAATTAATTAAGACTGCTTTGGTCATTAAGATGGTATGTGTATATGTCACGCTTGTTGTCATTGTTAGGGGAAACAGTATTATGGATCACTGATGTGTTAAATGAAGCTAATGTTATTAACTTGTGGTGAGAGGGGGGATGTTATGATGTATGTGATAGAGTACGAGATTACGTATGTTGTAAAAGGATTTTAGATAAATAAAAAATGATGGCTGTTTGAGGAAGTTTCGTTGTTACCTGGGAAGAAAGTTTTGAAGTCTTGCGTCTTGTTATGTTAGGGTTAGGTCGTGAATGTAATCAAGTATTAGTATCGTTTATTCAAGTAATCATATGTGTCCATATAATAAACAGTGTAGTGAACCAATGTCATCCTGTCGAGACATTGTCTGCGTTGATATCGTCGAAACTCGATGAAGAACTCCGGAATGGTTAGCGAAAAACATGATGTTAGTGAAACCCCTCTCACTGCATAACTTCAGTATGCATTGTCCCCAGTTATAACACTAGCCATGCCTTACCATAGCTAATAACTCCATCTAAGTGATTTGCCTTGGTCACGAACACATAGTCGTTGGAGTTCCTCAAGGAATGTATGCGCCATGGCCGGTGACTTATACAAGGTTTAACGCCAAGCTATACCGTTATGGCATCACCTCCTCTCATGTTTTGGTCTGGCAGCTGAGGATTTGTTGACGTGGAATGGCGCTTGGAGCTATGTGCCAAATTTAGGGGATGGAAGGAAGCAAGTAAGGTCACAAAAATTAGGTAGTTGATTATCGAAAAAAAAAACAATTTTCTTACTCAATTACTAAGACCTGACATTTAGTTTTACAGGTACGACCCTTTTGATGTCAACACGCAGTACAATTCAACAAAGACTATAAATTCTTTTTTTACCAAATACAACAAGATCCTAATTGACGGAAACCTACGATGGATCCCTTACCCTCTCAATTAAAATGGGCACTAAAATATTCAGTAAAAATGAACCCGCAAAAACAATCTATCCTTCTATCAAACTACCACCTAGTAACAATATTCCCTGAAAAAAAAAACATCAGACATTACATTAAATTATAAAAACAAAACAATAGATATCCTAATAACAAATTACAGGCAGAAAACCAGCCTGCCAACGCTCCTCATCTACACAACACTAGAAAAATCGGTGTAAAACCAAACACACCTAAATACACCTCGACAGCTAATCCCAACAGCACAACTACCAGCGCAAGCACGCAACAGCCAGAAACGGAAGAGCAACGACAGCTTTCACCAGCACATTACAGCAAGACGACTCTAATTCAACACAACCATAGACTTCTATGGAAAAAACAACACCAGTGAAAAGTATCAAGGTTCAAGGTTGAGGCCTACACGAACTCTCGTACCCTATCACGCACATTATAACCCTTATCTACTACGACTGAGACTCCTGGCTTTTCTCCTGCAATTTTTTTTTAAATCACTACAATACTAAACAAGTCACAACAACAGTACTCTAGTACTGGAAAACACGAGAAGCTAATGGAACACAGTCACTGAATTTTAACAGATGTCACCAGTAGATGGTACCATTAGATATTACCAGTATATTATACCATTACATATTACCAGTAGATATTACCAGTAGATATTACCAGTAGATATTACCAGTTAATATTACCAATATATATACCAGTAGATATTACCAGTAGATATTACCAGTTAATATTACCAATATATATTACCAGTAGATATTACCAGTAGATATTACCAGTAGATATTACCAGTAGATATTACCAGTAGATATGACCAGTAGATATTACCAGTAGATATTACCAGTAGATATTACCAGTAGATATTACCAGTAGATTTTACCCGTAGATATAACCAGTAGATATTACCCGTAGATATTACCAGTAGATATTACCAGTAGATATGACCAGTAGATATTACCAGTAGATATTACCAGTAGATATTACCAGTAGATATTACCAGTAGATTTTACCCGTAGATATAACCAGTAGATATTACCCGTAGATATTACCAGTAGATATTACCAATAGATATTACCAATATACATTACCAGTAGATATTACCAGTAGATATCATCAGTAGATATTACCAGTATTCTAGACTAACATACATAAATGGTCACAGCCCGTACCAAATAATTCAATTTATGTGTCAGGTAAAAACAAATCCAATTAAGATATAATATAATACAAATAAAAACATCTCCGTCATATTTAGAGTTTCATGCATTCTGTTGAAAGCGTGAAGATAAAAGGTAGAATAAAAAAATACTTCGAATATTTATTTATCATATCATTACACACTAGCCGTATCTAAATTTAAATGTTAACGCACAAACGTGTATTTGTAGACAAAATGTTTTAAGAAAAGTATATATATAGCTACGCTCAAAACAACTAACAAACACGTCACGGCCGTTCCTAAATATCATGATTTGTTACATAAATATAATAAGCATTAGAGTAAATTGGACAGTTTGCCTTGCTAGATTGTCTTTGAAAAGCTGCTGAATCATGTCATATGTCTATACCAGGGGTCTCCAAACTACGTCCCGCGGGCCGCATGCGGCCCGCGAGGTCCTCTCATCCGGCCCGCGGATATCTTTTTGTTTTTTGGTGATGGCTGAGGAACTTTGCCCAGAAAAATCAAAGACATGCCTGGAAGAAACTGGCCCCCGAACTAAAATTCGATAGTTAATGCGGTCCTCGGACTGAAAAGTTTGGAGACCCCTGGTCTATACCATCTGAGTGTTTACCCCTGACAATGCTAAGTGAAGTTTTAAAAAGACGGATTTTCATCATGCACCTTTCACTAACCTCGTCATTTATTGTATGATCCGTGTGTTGAAATTCGCAGACGTCTATGCAGACATCTATATTTAAATGTTTGAATATTTATTTTTTGTCTGATTGAGTATTGTGAATAGTTCTACTCCATGTGGACAGCTGTAAAATAGTATGTAGGTAGAGAAAATGTTTTGTTTTAAGACAGACTGTTAACCACAAATTTATTTTAAGACGTTAATTAATTTATTGATTTATTCATAGGTAGATTAACCACATTTATTTTAAAAGATTAGAACAACCACTAGACTCGACGAAACAGTGACGTCACATTTTTTGGTTTACTTTTTAGTACAATAAAATGGCGGCTTCCATCATAGGCCCATTCAAAAGTTTAACGCGTTCTAAATCTAATTTTCTGTCGGCCATAACTTTAACAATACGTTTGTTTGCTGTTTTTATTACGTTCCAACACTTATATAAATTTTCAACTGTCTTTTTCATTTAGTTTTACAATAAATTTCTCTAGCTCTACAATCTGACCAAGAAAGTTATTTATAGTTATAGATCTAAACAGATCATGTGGCCAAGCAAGTTATTTATAGATCTAGATCTAGAATCTAGGTCAAACAAAAGATTAATTAGATACATACCAAAGATAAATTAGATAAAGATACAATCCATTTTATAATCATAATACATTTTTAGTCCTAAAATACTTGATATAAATCATTGTGATGTATCTATCTAGATCTAGATTTATCTAGCAAGAATAGGTCTAATGATTAGATCTAGATTCTAGATCTAGAATATCTAGATCTAGATCTAGAATCTAGATCTAGCAAGAGTTACGCAAATACTAGACTTAAGAAAACGAGTCGTAGAATCTAGATCTAGATAATTCTATCTAGATCTAGATTATTTCAGACCTTCATTATTTTATATTAATCTTTGTTTGGCTAAATAAAGATAAAATTTAATTTGAAAGTTACTACTACTAGACTTAGATCTAGGTCTAGGCGCGTAAATCAAGTTGCATAAGGAGACTCAAAGTATTAAAGTATAGTATAAAAATTCAATCGGCTTGCATGCGGGTGGCACAGGTTCTAGACCAATACGTCAATGATAATTTTTTTTTTCAATTTTTTTTTTTTTTTTAGATGTGAATGATAAAGTTGCCTATCTGAACTGATCGGGATACAGGGCAAGTGAAGTAGAGTTAATCTGGGCAGGTGAAGTAGGGTTGAGTAAGTCACCTGTGACGTCAGTATATGAAGGGATAGTCCGCAATCGGTGTTTTCGGTGTTTTTAAAAGATAAAAAACATATTTTTGAATGTGGGGTCTGTTTTTTTGTGACGATAAGTGACACTGCAGTAGCGTAGGGAGGGGGGGGGGGGGCGGGGGGGGACATACGTCCCCGGGCGCCGACCTTAGGGGGCGCGAAAGTGGGTTGGAAAAATAAATTGAAAGGTTGAGGGGGTGCAAATCGAAAGTTTGAGGGCGGTGGGGGTGCAAATAGAAATCTTAAGGGGGGGGGGGTGCACATCGAAAGTTTGAGGGGGGGGGCGCCAAAAAGGGTCGTACGCCTCTGAGTGACAGACGTGATGTCATTTATGGATGACCCCCCCCCCCCCCCCCCCCCGAAACCCACAGTTATCTAACTAGATAACGGGTAGTCTAGTTTGATTTCTAAAACTCGCATCCGTCTTTATGGTCTGTATAGAGTTCCTCGCCTCTCATTCATGTATGCGCTTCACTATTTAAACAGCTCCCAATCTTGCACCAGTATTCTCCTTAAAAATTCTCGTAAAAGTAAAGAAAAGTAAAACTGTCTAGGGGTAACCAATGGAGGGAAATATTATTGGGGAATGACAACAATAAATTGCTAAGTTCCATTTGTCCCTATATTTAGCTTGAGCTACCTTATATGAAGAGAGGTGAGCATTATTTTAATATGTTGGTTACATAACCTAATGATTGAATCTTTTCAGCTAAATGGCGACCATTTTTATTAATATTCTTTCCCAAACAAAAAAAAAATAATTTTTGTATTTTGTACTTCATACAATAAAATATTACAAATATATCGGTCAAGGCCATAATTAAATATATATATATCTTCTACTTTACACCAAAAGTCAACAATTAACAAATAAAAACATTGTTTCACCAAAAATAATTAATTAACATAAACATTCAAGTACAAATTTCTTGCAAGTGTTTCATAGATTATGGGACACTTGTAACTTTCGATACAACGAAGTAGTTAATAAAATGAATCTTAATCCCATATTAGATAGAAATATAGTAATGCTACAAGTTTCTAAATGTATTTTGCAGTTAAATAATATTTAAGAATGTATGCCCTTATTTCATCGCGTGTTTTTTTTTTTTTCCGCAAATATGACAAGTCTTGTAAAGCCAAAGTCTGAAAAAAATTTTTAAATTAAATTTTTAATAAACACACCAATTCAATAGCCTAATCTTTCCCAAATACAATGAAACATGCTTTGTTTTTTTTAAATAGCTATTAATACATTTTAGTTTTTTTTAACATGCGTCATATGTGTGGGACATAAGTAGAATGTAAGTCAAATAATGTCTTTTTTAACCCCAACTGACCCAGCACAGCAGCTAACTTTATTTTATTTTCCCATGCCTAATAACTTATCTAATACATTCGTGACTTAAAAAAAAAAACCTTTTAAAAATTTTAGTATTAATATCAGCTACATCAACTTGAATGTTGAACATTGTAGAAGTAGTTCTCGGTGGTAAGATCTTCTTACGCTAAGATCCTTAAAAAGCTTTTAAGTGTAATCTTCAAATTAATATATAAAAAATGTATAATAGCTTTAAAAACAGATGAATTATTTGTAGAACGATTTAACGTAATTAATGTTATGAAGTCAGAGGACATAGTGAGAGGTTAGATGACACAATCAGACAGATGTAAGATGACACAATTAGACATATGTTAGATGACACAATTAGACAGATGTTAGATGACACATTTAGACAGATGTTAGATGACACATTTAGACAGATGTTAGATGACACAATTAAACAGATGTAAGATGACACAATCAGACAGATGTAAGATGACACAATAAGACAGATGTTAGATGACACAATTAGATAGATGTTAGATGACACAATTAGACAGATGTTAGATGACACAATTAGATGTTAGATGACACAATTAGACGTATGTTAGGAGACACAATTAGACATGTTAGATGACACAACTAAACAGATGTTAGACGACACAATTAGACTGATGTTAGATGACACAATTAGACATATGTTAGGAGACACAATTAGACGGATGTAAGATGACACAATTAGACAGATGTTAGACGACACAATTAGACTGATGTTAGTTGATACAATTAGACGGATGTTAAGAGACACTTTTAGACTTAATATTTTTAGAATACTTTGTTATTTAGACAGAGGTTAGATGACACATTTTGACAGATGTTAGATGACACAATTAGACTTATATATATACATATATATATATATATATATATATATATATATATATATATATATATATATATATATATATATATATATATATATATATATATATATATATATATATATATATATATATATATATTTATATATATATATATATATATATATATATATATATATATATATATATATATATATATATATCTATATATATATATATATATTTATATATATATATATATATATATATATATATATATATATATATATATATATATATATATATATAGTGCGTAGTTATTTTATGGAACCCTGTACATTTTACTTTAAAATAGCATTATGTCTGTACAAAAAATAGGAATGCGTCAATGCAGATATTTTTTAATGGCTTATTCAGTTTTACTAAACGGTCTTTATTCTGAATTAAATTTTTTTAAATATTACAATGTCCGGTATAAATGTATTTATCAATTTCGTCTTATGCTGCACTCTAGAGTGTGTTAATAAAACTACAACATCCTTTTTCGTCGAGGTCCTATTCTAGCAAAATGACACAATTAGACTTATGTTAGATGACACATTTAGACAGATGTAAGATGACACAATTAAACAGATGTAAGATGACACAATTAGACAGATGTTAGATGACACATTTAGACAGATGTTAGATGACACAATTAAACAGATGTAAGATGACACAATTAAACAGATGTAAGATGACACAATTAGACAGATGTTAGATGACACAATTAGACAGATGTTAGATGACACAATTAAACAGATGTTAGATGACACATTTAGACAGATGTTAGATGACACAATTAAACAGATGTAAGATGACACAATTAAACAGATGTAAGATGACACAATTAAACAGATGTAAGATGACACAATTAGACAGATGTTAGATGACACATTTAGACAGTTGTAAGATGACACAATTAAACAGATGTTAGATGACACAATTAGACAGATGTTAGATGACACAATTAGACAGATGTTAGATGACACAATTAGACAGATGTTAGATGACACAATTAGACAGATGTTAGATGACACAATTAGACAGATGTTAAATGACACAATTAGATGTTAGATGACACAATTCGACATATGTTAGGAGACACAATTAGACAGATGTTAGATGACACAATTAAACAGATGTAAGATGACACAATTAAACAGATGTTAGATGACACAATTAGACAGATGTTAGATGACACATTTAGACAGATGTAAGATGACACAATTAAACAGATGTTAGATGACACAATTAGACAGATGTTAGATGACACAATTAGACAGATGTTAGATGACACAATTAGACAGATGTTAGATGACACAATTAGACAGATGTTAGATGACACAATTAGACAGATGTTAAATGACACAATTAGATGTTAGATGACACAATTCGACATATGTTAGGAGACACAATTAGACAGATGTTAGATGACACAATTTGACTTACGTAAGATGACAAAATTAGACAGATGTTAAATGACACAATTAAACAGATGTTAGATGACACAATTAGACAGATGTTAGATGACACAATTAGACAGATGTTAGATGACACATTTAGACAGATGTTAGATGACACATTTAGACAGATGTTAGATGACACATTTAGACAGTTGTAAGATGACACAATTAAACAGATGTTAGATGACACAATTTGACAGATGTTAGATGACACAATTAGACAGATATTAGATGACACAATTAGACAGATGTTAGACGACACAATTAGACAGATATTAGATGACACAATTAGACAGATGTTAGATGACACAATTAGACAGATGTTAGATGACACTATTAGATACATGTTAAATGACACAATTAGATGTTAGATGACTCATTTCGACATATGTTATGAGACACAATTAGACAGATGTTAGATGACACAATTAGACTTACGTAAGATGACACAATTAGACAGATGTTAGGAGACACAATTAGATTGATGTTAGTTGATACAATTAGACGGATGTTAAGAGACACATTTAGACTTAATATTTTTAGAATCCTTTTTTATTTAGACAATATAAAGTATACGTTTTTGATTAGATAACTATGTTACAGTATTGTGTAAAGGTGACTACCTAGGATGTCAACTTTTGTCAAATGTAATTTCACCTCTATCCTCTTGAACTGTCGACAGCAGTCACAATGTTTTCCCCTGCTCTCCTGACGTTGCTCCTTGTGGGTGCCATCACTGGCATGCCCGTCCAAGAGGACATTTCCGGCACCATCACCATCCAGATCCGTTCTGAGGAAGCCCAAATTCCGGTAATAAAATTATTACAAACTTGCTAAAGACCATAGTTCAGAGTTTGCTGAGAGATTACATAAGGATAATATGCGATAATAATTTATTTAATTATTTACTGATACGCATATGTGTAATTAGGTTTTCGCTGTAGGGGGAGCGAAAAGAGCAAAAAAAGGCACCAAACCTTTTACAAAGTGCTAAAAAAAAATATATATATATATATATATATATATATATATATATATATATATATATATGTATGTATGTATATAGTGCGTAGTTACGTTTTTGGAACCCATGTACATTTTACTTTAAAATAGCTTTATGTCTGTACAAAAAATAGGAATGCGTAAATGCAGATATTTTTTTTAATGGCTTATTCAGTTTTACAAAACGGTCTTTATTCTGAATTAATTTTTTTTAAATATTACCATGTCCTGAATAAACGTATTTAATAACAATTTTGTCTTATGCTGCACTCTAGAATGTGTTAATAAAACTACATCATCCTTTCTCGTCGAGGTCCTATTCTAGCAAAATGATACATTGCTTCTTTTAAATCAACATCAAAAGCGAATAGCGGTTCAATTCGGACTAAGCTGGACAACCTTTATCATGATATCCCAGATTTGTATCAAATATAGCATCAAGTTTGACTGGCACTGTTCTGTCAATATCGTCTTCTAAATGAGTGACTTCTAAAATCTCTATTGACAATACCTTATTGTCTTGAGTCTCGACGTCTTCATTTGAATCTGAGCAGAGTTTCTTCCAGGGATCTCTTAGGGAGATGGATTTTATTTAGTAAACATACACTTTTACTAGTGACCGCCCAACCCCCTCCGAAAATTTCAAAAGACCCCTGTGAGGGCGTCTGAATCTCAAAGAAAGCAAAACACGATTGAGGCTATTACAGTATTCTTTATTCCACTATCTCCCGTCCTCCAGTCACAAAATACACCTCCTTGCTTTCACACTCAACCTTCAACTGTCACCCCGCATTCATTCCTACACACCACCTTTCTCTCGCTCACAACACAGACACTGTCACCCGACCAGTCGCTTCCTTTGTACCCTTATTCACCCCGTACAACAACATACACGTCAACACACCCGGCCTCGCGTCTCACTACATGATACATACACACACGCAGTGACCCGTTCCACGTATTCACCTTTCATACACATTACATCACCACAACCCACACGGAGAAAAAAAGTCTGGAAGAAACACTGCATCTGAGATTTTGTTGTCACTTGTATATTTTGTACTATAGTATCTTCAGACACTTCGACCTGTGGTTGTGCTGTTGTCGAAGGTGAAGGCGTAAAGTTAGAAAATATGTCTCCAGTTCGGCATATTTGATTGATGTTTGTCGGCGATCTGAAATGTCTTTCAGTTTCTTCCTTTCCCACCCTGAATATTTCTTCTTTACTAGTTTTCTTTCCATTTATTAACCTCTTAATTAATGTATTCTAAGCACCACTGTTGTATTGGTATTAATATATTTAGTTTGATATACACAACCATTTAAATGGGGCGATAACTTTTGATAATTACTAACAATTCTAAACCATTTCAAACGATACAACAGCTGAGAGGTAATAAACTAAGCGATCAATATGGGTTTAAGTTGAATTGTTTTTTTTTAAATACAAAATGTAGCCTTAGTCAAATTTAATATAGATCTATATCTAGTACAATAAAATAATAAATAATATATACTTTCTACTATTTCATATAATTTGTAATCGTAGTCACTATCGCCCAACATGTCATGATACTACTACTTCATCGTGATGTCAGACGTTAAGCTTGTAAATAAATCCCTGGCACTATGCAGTTTGCCAATAAGTAAATTTAAATAGAGGTGCCACACCAGTTGTGATTTTATGTGTATCGTAATTTAAAAAAGAAATCAACTACATGATTCTAACTTTATATGTAAATTTATGCATATTGCTTTCTTATTCAATTATTCTTAAGCATAAACATTATAAAGTGGACGTTAACTCAATACCCCTTTCATCAAGTGGTAGTACCCCTAGAGTTTTTAAAGATTACAATCACCGTACTTCTTTATTTTTTTTGAAAGGCAAACCAACACAGATGTTAAAATGTGTTGTGAACGTAGACTCTTCATAAATGGTACCATGATTTAACACTAGTCTAGTACTAGGTGCTTAGTTGCTGCATGAAAAGAAATCTTGTGGTTTATATAGTTGTGCCGACCCAAAGTAAATAACTGGCAAATATTGTTTATAACTTTGAGTTTTAAAAGTTTCCAAAAAGGCGCCACTTTGCTGAAAATGGCCAAGGAAGGCTATTTCTCCCCCTTCACACCCTACCCCTGTATACGCTACTGCTGATATGTAAGAATTGAATAACTAGGCCAATATGTTTAAAGTTTACAGATAATCTAATAGAGTAAAATTGAATTACAAGTAATGTATCGTTGCACTATTCATTGTAGGTAGTGATTGTAATAGTTTAAGAGTATCCACTGGTAAGCAATGTTTCTACATACATGAAATTACTTATGTGTATTTTAATAAGATAGGGGCTTGTCTATGTAATAGGGTCCTGTCTATGCAGTATGGGTCTGTCTGTGTAGTAGGTGCCTGCTTATGTAGAAAGGGTTTGTCTAAATAAAATGGTAATGGCTAGTTAAGAAACAGAGATAAGCACAGCACACAAACACAAACCTACACACACCTACACACACACACACACACACACACAAACACAAATACATAAAGGCATTCACATACACAAACACACTCAAATAATTAAAATAATTTGAATTGAACAATTGAAATAAAAATATCGAATTTCCCCCACCATAGGAGGACATTTCTGGAACCATCTCAATCAACTTTAGGGCTGACGAAGTGCAGGTAAAACTACACCTTGCAACAATAGGATGAAAATTTATGTATAAAAAAAGAAATAAAAAAAAGACAAAACACTTATTGAATAAATAGTTTTAAAACATTGTAAAATTTCCAACTTAAAATTTTGAGATATATTCACCAAGTTTACCAATACAAGGAATGGCAATACAAATTTATATCTGAATCTTTATCCTTCCCCTCCCCCAACAAACTTGTACACCACGCTTGTAGAAAAGAGAGGAGGACATCTCAGGTACCATCACCATCACCATTAAGGCTCTGGACGGATGGAGTACCACATCAATCCTTCCCGCTGTGTTCTCTGTAAGATAATGCTTCAAAAGATATTTAATTTAAATGTACATTTAAAAGAACATATACACAAATGTACATATACATGTGTGTGTGTTCTTTATATATATATATATATATATATATATATATATATATATATATATATATATATATATATATATATACATATATATATATATATATATATATAAACATTTATATAGATGTGAAAGCTAACAACATGTAAGTAAATGTAATCTTCCCACAGAAGAGAGATGGTCAGGACATTTCTGGTACTATCACCATCGTTATCAAATCTCAAGAAGAACAGGTAAAATAAACATGTCTAGACACCGGTAACATTTAAAATGAAGTAAAATCATTTAATATAAGCCTTTTTGTTACTAATTACTACTGATTTAACACTTGGAAAAAAAGTTGTGACACAGAGAAGTGAGAATTAACAAGAATAAATATTTTTTAAACTCTTATAAAGCCAAGATGTATTGCTATTTATCTTGTATCCACTAGATATACCCTATAAGATGTCAAATAATAAAGAAAACAAAACATGTTTAATTTAAATAATGTATACTTTCAATATTTAAAACAAAATTGCCTTGCAGAAAAGAGATAACATGGAAGATATCTCCGGTACAATCACCATTACCATCAAGTCACAGGAAGCATGGACCGACTACATTGGACCAGCCCTCCAAATCGTACAAGCCGTTGCACCTTTAATTGGCAAGAAAGAAATTTCTCAAGAAGCGTGGACAGACTACATTGCTCCAGCCCTTCAATTTGCAACCACGTTTGCTCCACTACTTGGAAAAAAAGATCTTACTCAAGAAGGCTGGACTGACTTCATTGCACCAGCTATCCAGATTGCAACAACCGTTGCACCATTACTGCTCGGCAAGAAAGAACTTACACAAGAAGCTTGGACTGACTACAATGTACCTACTTTCCAGTTTGTAACAACACCCGTTCAGCCATTAATTATCGGCAAGAAAGAACTAACGCAAGAAGCATGGACTGATTTCATTGGACCAGCTCTTCAAATCGTAACCGCAGTTGCACCTTTAATTGGAAAGAAAGAGGTCTCACAAGAGTCATGGACTGATTTCATTGGACCAGCTCTTCAAATCGTAACCGCAGTTGCACCTTTAATTGGAAAGAAAGAGGTCTCACAAGAGTCATGGACTGATTTCATTGGACCAGCTCTTCAAATCGTCACCGCAGTTGCACCTTTAATTGGAAAGAAAGAGGTCTCACAAGAGTCGTGGACTGATTTCATAGGACCAGCTCTTCAAATCGTCACCGCAGTTGCACCTTTAATTGGAAAGAAAGAGGTCTCGCAAGAGTCATGGACTGATTTCATTGGACCAGCTCTTCAAATCGTCACCGCAGTTGCACCTTTAATTGGAAAGAAAGAGGTCTCACAAGAGTCATGGACTGATTTCATTGGACCAGCTCTTCAAATCGTCACCGCAGTTGCACCTTTAATTGGAAAGAAAGAGGTCTCACAAGAGTCATGGACTGATTTCATTGGACCAGCTCTTCAAATCGTCACCGCAGTTGCGCCTTTAATTGGAAAGAAAGAGGTCTCACAAGAGTCGTGGACTGATTTCATTGGACCAGCTCTTCAAATCGTTACCGCAGTTGCACCTTTAATTGGAAAGAAAGAGGTCTCACAAGAGTCGTGGACTGATTTCATTGGACCAGCTCTTCAAATCGTTACCGCAGTTGCACCTTTAATTGGAAAGAAAGAGGTCTCACAAGAGTCATGGACTGATTTCATTGGACCAGCTCTTCAAATCGTAACCGCAGTTGCACCTTTAATTGGAAAGAAAGAGGTCCTACAAGAGTCGTGGACTGATTTCATTGGACCAGCTCTTCAAATCGTAACCGCAGTTGCACCTTTAATTGGAAAGAAAAGGTCCTACAAGAGTCGTGGACTGATTTCATTGGACCAGCTCTTCAAATCGTTACCGCAGTTGCACCTTTAATTGGAAAGAAAGAGGTCTCACAAGAGTCATGGACTGATTTCATTGGACCAGCTCTTCAAATCGTCACCGCAGTTGCACCTTTAATTGGAAAGAAAGAGGTCTCACAAGAGTCGTGGACTGATTTCATTGGACCAGCTCTTCAAATCGTTACCGCAGTTGCACCTTTAATTGGAAAGAAAGAGGTCTCACAAGAGTCATGGACTGATTTCATTGGACCAGCTCTTCAAATCGTAACCGCAGTTGCACCTTTAATTGGAAAGAAAGAGGTCCTACAAGAGTCGTGGACTGATTTCATTGGACCAGCTCTTCAAATCGTAACCGCAGTTGCACCTTTAATTGGAAAGAAAGAGGTCCTACAAGAGTCGTGGACTGATTTCATTGGACCAGCTCTTCAAATCGTTACCGCAGTTGCACCTTTAATTGGAAAGAAAGAGGTCTCACAAGAGTCATGGACTGATTTCATTGGACCAGCTCTTCAAATCGTCACCGCAGTTGCACCTTTAATTGGAAAGAAAGAGGTCCTACAAGAGTCGTGGACTGATTTCATTGGACCAGCTCTTCAAATCGTTACCGCAGTTGCACCTTTAATTGGAAAGAAAGAGGTCTCACAAGAGTCATGGACTGATTTCATTGGACCAGCTCTTCAAATCGTCACCGCTGTTGCACCTTTAATTGGAAAGAAAGAGGTCTCACAAGAGTCATGGACTGATTTCATTGGACCAGCTCTTCAAATCGTCACCGCAGTTGCACCTTTAATTGGAAAGAAAGAGGTCTCACAAGAGTCATGGACTGATTTCATTGGACCAGCTCTTCAAATCGTTACCGCAGTTGCACCTTTAATTGGAAAGAAAGAGGTCTCACAAGAGTCATGGACTGATTTCATTGGACCAGCTCTTCAAATCGTCACCGCAGTTGCGCCTTTAATTGGAAAGAAAGAGGTCCTACAAGAGTCGTGGACTGATTTCATTGGACCAGCTCTTCAAATCGTTACCGCAGTTGCACCTTTAATTGGAAAGAAAGAGGTCTCACAAGAGTCATGGACTGATTTCATTGGACCAGCTCTTCAAATCGTCACCGCTGTTGCACCTTTAATTGGAAAGAAAGAGGTCTCACAAGAGTCATGGACTGATTTCATTGGACCAGCTCTTCAAATCGTCACCGCTGTTGCACCTTTAATTGGAAAGAAAGAGGTCTCACAAGAGTCATGGACTGATTTCATTGGACCAGCTCTTCAAATCGTCACCGCAGTTGCACCTTTAATTGGAAAGAAAGAGGTCTCACAAGAGGCATGGACTGATTTCATTGGACCAGCTCTTCAAATTGCTCAAATTGTTACCCCACTTATCACTGGCAAGAAAGAACTGACCGAGGAAGCTTGGACTGACTTCATTGCACCAGCCCTCCAAATTGCTGAAGTCGTTGCACCACTTATCATTAATGGCAAGAGAGAACTTACCCAAGAAGTATGGACTGACTACATTGCACCAGCCCTCCAAATTGCTCAAATTGTTACCCCACTTATCACTGGCAAGAAAGAACTGACCGAGGAAGCTTGGACTGACTACATTGCACCAGCCCTCCAAATTGCTGAAGTCGTTGCACCACTTATTATTAATGGCAAGAGAGAACTTACCCAAGAAGTATGGACTGACTACATTGCACCAGCCCTCCAAATTGCTCAAATTGTGACCCCACTTATCACTGGCAAGAAAGAACTGACCGAGGAAGCTTGGACTGACTACATTGCACCTGCCCTCCAAATTGCTCAAATTGTTACCCCACTTATCACTGGCAAGAAAGAACTGACTGAGGAAGCTTGGACTGACTACCTTCAACAAGTTCTCGTACAAGCTCCATCAGTTTCGGCTTCGTAAATTTATTTTACACATACAAAAAATATTTGTCGTTTTTATAAAATCTGAAAATTACCAATCTTTTTATATTGATTTCAAAATGTTAAAACCATGTGAAAAAGTAATAGTTACCAGTGTTAAGAATTTTTGCTTAATAATTATTTAATAAAAGCGATTACAAATACTTATTTTTCTCTATTTTGTGTGTGTTTTAACTTAGATTATTTGACTGTTTGCTGATGGATATATATCTAACAAGCCGTTTCAGCCAGGCCCTGCTCTGTCCTCTGTGAAAAACCTATCTGTTGAGGACCATCACCTGTGTGTTTAGCAATCTTCACATTCACGGCATTGCCCACCCTAACCACAACCAACCAAGGGAAATAATAAACAGTAAAGGATTTAATGTAAATAATTTTCAGACACATTATAATTTTTGTGAAAGGTGATACATTTTTTAAAATTGTGTTTGATGGACATGCCAACAATTATTATTATAAGTTTGAAAAAAATGAAAATTGTTTTAAAACACCATGAATATGAATATTGGAAATTATTAATTTAGATGTTTAACACTATGACGAAGAAGTTTATTATTTTCTTATATTCTTTTTAAATCCGCACTAACATACGTGATTGAACTTTATATATCTAACTAGCAGTATACCCGTGCTCCGCCACGGTGAATCTTTTTTAAATGTACCAACCTAAGAAAAGACAAAAACAAACACACAATACAAAACAAACACAACAGAAAATAACACAAACACAACACAAACACAACACAAACACAACACAAACACAACACAAACACAACACAAATACAACACGAACACAAAACAAACACAACACAAACATAACACAAACACAACACAAAAAAAACACAAACACAACACAACACAAACACAAACACAAACACAAACACAACACGAACATAACACAACACAAACACAACACAAAAACAACACAAACACAACATAAACACAACACAAACACAACACAAACACAACACAAATACAAAACAAACACAACACAAACACAACACAAACACAACACAAACACAACACAAACACAACACAAACACAAACACAACACAACACGAAAATAACACAAAACAAACACAACACAAACACAACACAAACACAACACAAATACAACACAAATACATAACGAACACAAAACAAACACAACACAAACATAACACAAACACAAAAACAAACAAAACACAAACACAACACAAACACAAACACAAACACAAACACAACACGAACATAACACAACACAAACACAAACACAAACACAACACAAACACAACACAAAAACAACACAAACACAACAAAAACACAATACAAACACAACACAAACACAACACAAATACAAAACAAACACAACACAAACACAACACAAACACAACACAAACACAACACAAACACAAACACAACACGAACATAACACAAAACAAACACAACACAAACACAACACAACAGAAACACAACAAAAACACAACACAAACACAACACAAACACAACACAAACACAACACAAACACAACACGAACACAAAACAAACACAACACAAACATAACACAAACACAACACAAACAAAACACAAACACAACACAAACACAAACACAAACACAACACGAACATAACACAACACAAACACAAACATAAACACAACACAAACACAACACAAACACAACACAAACACAACACAAATACAAAACAAACACAACACAAACACAACACAAACACAACACAAACACAAACACAAACACAACACAAACACAAACACAAACACAAACACAACACGAACATAACACAAAACAAACACAACACAAACACAACGCAACAGAAACACAACACAACCACAACACAAACACAACACAAACACAAACACAAACACAAACACAACACGAACATAACACAACACAAACACAAACACAAACACAACACAAACACAACACAAAAACAACACAAACACAACAAAAACACAATACAAACACAACACAAACACAACACAAATACAAAACAAACACAACACAAACACAACACAAACACAACACAAACACAACACAAACACAAACACAACACGAACATAACACAAAACAAACACAACACAAACACAACACAACAGAAACACAACAAAAACACAACACAAACACAACACAAACACAACACAAACACAACACAAACACAACACGAACACAAAACAAACACAACACAAACATAACACAAACACAACACAAACAAAACACAAACACAACACAAACACAAACACAAACACAACACGAACATAACACAACACAAACACAAACATAAACACAACACAAACACAACACAAACACAACACAAACACAACACAAATACAAAACAAACACAACACAAACACAACACAAACACAACACAAACACAAACACAAACACAACACGAACATAACACAACACAAACACAAACATAAACACAACACAAACACAACACAAACACAACACAAACACAACACAAATACAAAACAAACACAACACAAACACAACACAAACACAACACAAACACAACACAAACACAACACAAACACAAACACAAACACAAACACAAACACAACACGAACATAACACAAAACAAACACAACACAAACACAACGCAACAGAAACACAACACAACCACAACACAACACAACACAAACACAACACAAATAAAACACAAACACAGCACAAATACAACACAAACACAACACAAACACAATACAAACACAACATAAACACAACACAATTACAAAACAAAGTCAACAAAAACACAATACAACAGAAACACAACAGAAATACAACACATACACAACACAAACACAACACAAACACAACACAACACAACACAAACACAAACACAACACAAACACAACACAAACACAACACAACACAAACACAAAAACAAACACAACACAAACACAACACAAACACAAACACAACACAAACACAACACGAACACAACACAAACACAACACAAACACAACACAAACACAACACAAACACAACACAAACACAACGCAAAAAATGAAAAACGTGAGGCGCCGAAGTAAAAGTTTTTTATCGGTCATTGTTAATATAAGATGTAAAATTTATATTACTATTGATTAGATAATACTATTACGTTTTAGTAGGGAGCTTGTAGAGAGTCAACAGTATTAGAAATCGTAAGAAAATCACGGCGCCCCACGTTTTTCATTTTTCGTCATAATGCGCACGCAGTTTGCGATCGCTTATAGTAGAGTGATCGCTTGCATTATTGTGATATATAGCATTTATGTTCTACTTTTTAGTTCAATCAGAAAACGTGGTTTTTTTTTTTTTTAATTAATGATAATTATTTTATACGTTTTAGTCTTTGTCTGTTTGCATTTAAATCTTGCTATCGATTTTATCTTCTCGCATTCACTTTTTTTGGGTAAACGAAGACAAACACAAAGGACGAACACAAAGATAAAAGGGACTTATACCAGGCATGACACGCTTATTATTCAGGATCAGCTGGAGGTTTGTGTCGACGCATTCTTTCCATCTCATGTAGACATTCCTCATTGCAGGGTTTTTTTCCTGTTAGCTTTGCTCAATCCAATGCCACAATGCGTACGCCTTCGAGTGATCGTTCTTAACTGAGCGCAACATACGCCTAGCCCGTTTCAAAAAGTGCTGGTCCTAAATAGACAACTGCGTGATCAACTGTGCAGCCTTGCATTTTATGCACTGTGCATGCCCAGCATAGAATTATAGGCAGTTGTCTTGGCTCGACTTTTCCATAATTCAGTTTTCCATCAAATTCCACGCATCTCGGCTCAATCCGATGGATTCCATCTGGCCCAAAGTCAATGCTTAAGTCGGGAATGTCTTTATCAATCTGGTCGCGTCTGAAATTTGGCCAATGAATTTCTGTAATGTTGCCGATTGCGCCACTAACCAGTCCCTTTTCAACGATGATGTTCGCTCTCAACATCACTTTAGCGCCGAGGAATATTTCCATTTCCTTTTGCAATCCTCCAGTCTTATTTATATCGTTGGATACAACTTTGCTTATGTCGATTTTGTCGGCGTTTCTTCCAGAATCAATGATTCGATCCTGAGACTCGATCTTGTATATTCCAGTGCCTTGCGATCGATAATATTGCAAAACAGAAATATTGTGATCCTCGACCATTTTTCTTGTCGGATAAATTCTGATTGCCTTATTTAGTAAGAGTTTTCGACATTAAGAGCTCGAAATGAGGACCTTTGAGCTCGCCAACTCGTAATGCATTTAGGAGATCAGCGAAAGTTGTATCACCGCGCTGTCGAATATTTTTAGTCGATTCGAATAGACCGAATAGACGCCAAAGATGAACAGCTGGCTGAAATCTGGCTGGCTGCTTAAATACAAATGATGCTTTTATTGGGCGTAATTGCATCAAATCGCCAAATACAATTACATTAACTCCGCCAAAGACTTTTTCGGGCTCCTTTTTTAGCTGTCTCAATCGAGAGTCAATCATACACATAATTTTTGGTCGTTTAGGAGGATTTTCCAATCTGTATCCTGCATTGCGTTTCTCCTGATACTTCTGGCGTGCCTTTTCCAATCGACGTTTCTTCTGTGTTGCTGTTTCTTTCACCCTTTTGCCCTCGCGTGCAAACCATTCGACCATCAACATTTTACTTCCGGATCAGTCAGATTTGCATACGTTTGTACACAAACACCGCGTGACCACTACTCAGCCAATCGCGTGCTCGCTCTTTCGTGATTTTTCATTTGTTTTTCAGTAAGCCAGAAGAGGGAAAGTACCGAACCCTGTTTTTATCAAATTACAATTACTAGGTTATGTCCCTTTTTGTACAAATCAATAGGGGTCTAAAATGATCAATAACATTTTTCCATGGATCAATTTAGTAATAATAATAATTGAATATTGTATTGTCATCGGAAACACAGCTTTCCTGAAAATTTCAGCGCGCTAGCTAACTGGGAAGTGCCCGAAATTTCGATCGCAAGATTTGATGGAAAGACAAGTTAAAGAAAACGTGGGAATATATATATATATATATATATATATATATATATATATATATATATATATATATATATATATATATATATATATATATATATATATATATATATATATATATTCAAATTTATTCAATTTAAAAAAAAAAACTGTTACAATTGTACGCTTTTTTCACATTGGCCGTTTAAACAAATAAAACAATTCAATAACACATAGCAGTAACATAGCACTAAAAATGTGGAATAAAGAAATAATGTTACATAGTTATAATACAAAATGAAATAAAAAAGAGAATATAATAGATGAATGAGAAATGTTACAATGAGTCAGTTAGAGAGGTCATTAAATAATTGTAGTTTTAGTTTAGATTTGAATATATTTTCAGATCTAGATAGCTTTATTTTATTAGGAAGATTGTTCCACAAATTAGAACCAGAGTAGGCGAAGCTATGTTTTTGGAAAAAAGTTGTATATGGAAATGGTAAATTGAGACGACGATTTAATTTTATGTTAAAAGAAAATAGGTCTGTTAAGTAAGAGGGGGCTGTTTCGTGGAAAAATTTATATAAGAAAATTTATTTAGTATATATTATCTTTTTATTTAACGGAAGTATTTTAGTTGTAAGAAAAGAATCCAGACTACTAGACAATCCAGTAACCAGTTTTATAGCCCTTTTTTGTAAATATAGAAGAGGACGCTGCTTAGTTATAAAGCTGCCGCTCCAAACAACAGAAGCATAATCCAACCTAGATTGAATAAAAGCTTCATAAAAAACTAGCCTGCTCCTATAGTCGAGTAAGTTCTTTATCCTTGCTAATTGAAAAGTCATCTTTAATAAGGACATTCTTAGAAAATGAATATGATCGGACCAAGCGAGGTTGTGATCTATAACTAATCCTAGGCATTTGTAACTATCAACCTGTTTAATGTTTGTATTGTCTATAGTAATGCGTAATGCGGTGGATGGAAGACGAAGGCGTTTCTGATGAGTTGTAATAAACATTGACTTGGTTTTATCGGGGTGAAGTTTCATTTTGTTAAATTTTGTCCAAGTAGCAAGCTGATTGGCACACGTTTGAAGTTTGTAACCGAGTGACACAGCACTGCCTGCAAAGACATGTAAAGAAGTATCATCAGCGAACATCTCGCATTGACCAGCGTCAATGTGTAATGGAAGATCATTAATGTATAAAGAAAAAAGTAAAGGACCTAAGATTGAGCCCTGTGGAACCCCTATATTGACATATTTCTGTGAAGAGATGGTATTAAGGTGAAACACGCGTTGAGATCGGTTAGATAAAAAGGAGTGAAGTAACCTAACTGTAAAGTCGTGGAATTTGTATGGAATTAGTTTTTTAAGAAGTATGATGTGATCAATAGAATCAAAGGCTATTCTGAAATCGACGAAGAGCGAGCCACAGAGTAGGTTTTTGTTAATATTTTTAAGCCAGTTTTCATTCATCTTAATCAGAGCAGTGTGATAAGAATGAAACTTTCTAAACCCAGACTGATTACTATGGAAAAGCTTAAGCTTTTCTAGGTAGTTTGACATGCATTTGTTTATATGTATTTCTAGTGGCTTGGAGAGGGAAGAAAGTATAGAAATTGGCCTGTAGTTAATAGCATCTTGGATGTTACCTTTTTGTGTAGTGGTATAACCTTAGCATGCTTAAAATGTGTCGGGTAATAATGCTTGGCAATACAGAGGTTATAGACATAGGTTAAAACTTCGGAAATTATTTGAGCTGGAATCTTTAATACTTTATTAGAGATATCATCAAACGAAGTTGTTGAAGACGGTTTAAGAGATCTTAGGCTAACATATACTTCATGAACAGTGAGAAGCGGAATGATCAGCTCTGTCCTACCACGGTGAGCAGAATTACAAAAAATTTTAAGCTCCTCACTGATTGTGTAATCAGCATCTGTGTTGAGCGCTACAGATGATATAAAATGATTGTTAAAGTCATCAGCAGATATCTGGCAATGTCCAGCTGTATTACATGTGCGTTTTTTTCAAATTATTTGATTTATGGCAGTTCAGATAGATTTGGAATTAGGTTTGCCTGACAGCAGCTTATTAAAATACTCCTTCTTCGACCTACGCACGAGCAGTTTCACATAATTTCGTTGTCTACAAAAGTCCTCAGAAGTTCCATAACGTTTAAGCCAGTCTCTTTTATTAATTGCAGATTCGATATTTTTGTTAAACCAAGACGGTTTGTATGTAGTCTTAACCCTTTTAGAGATTTTAGGAATAGGTTTGTCATATATAGTATAGAAAATACGCAGCCATTCAGAAATGGCTAGATCGGGACAATTATTATTGTATATATTGCAGCCAATAAATCCGAAAGAAAAAGATTTTCATTAAATTTTCTAAAAGAGCGATAATTTATAGTTATGTGTTGCCTCGAAGGTACGCATAATCTTTTTGTCGAAAAAGTACAACAAACAGGGAAGTGGTCACTAACACTAACCTCTATTATGTTGCAGTCAGGTGATGCGTAGATGTGGTCAATTATTGTACTTGATTTATCATTGACCCTGGTAGCCGTGTGCACAAATTGTTTTAGATTCAGAGAATCAACAATATCTTGCCAATATCCTTGATATATATATATATATATATATATATATATATATATATATATATATATATGCCGGGTGTGTGTGTGTGTATGTGTGTGCACATTTTAAGTGCCGCGCTACCTCGAGAGAAATGTTTGAAATAAACACTGTCGGGGGCTGACAATAACACAGTCGAGGTCAAAGTTTGTTCTTAAATTGTTCTTCACGTATTTCATTCTTGAAAATGTTTGTCTCACATGTATGTTGTTCCAAAAGGTACTTTGATGCGAAAGTTTTAATATTAGGAAAGTGTTCTTTAGGCAAATACTTAGAAAACCAAGCCGCCCTTCTTTAAACTTGTCTCTAATGAGGCCATTAGCTGGGCAACTGGCCACATTTGCTTCAAATGTGTTTTGAGTTTCACTTCTTCTACCTTTTGATCCAAGTCAGAAAACCGGAACTGTAACTGCAGCTGGAGGTCTAAGGTGAAATCGTGTGGATAAAAAAAAAAAAAAAAACTTAGTTGCTGCTTCAGCTATGACCATCTTGCATTGCTGAAAGTGAGTCAAACTGTTGGCCTGCACTTGTTCCAAAAAAAGACACGTTGGGATCTGAAGGCCTTTAGGTGGGTGTATATATCAGAAATTAGATTTCTCCCTATTGTAGTTTTAGTTTTAGAAAATTTAAATGACTAGTTGTGAGTGCAGCAAAGGCCAATTTCTAAACCCACTCTTCATCAGACATTAATGGCTGTGGCTTGCCTTTACTTTCCATGAAATCAACTATTCCCTTTCTTAACTTAAATACTCTGCTCAGAACGTCTCACAAATTAGCCATCTTACTGTTATAAGAATCTTGCGATTCTGCGTTATTATCTTTCAACATGTCTGTGAACTATCTATGGTTGAGCTCATGTGACCTTATTAATTTTGACATCTTCACCACAGTCACGTAACTGAGCTATAAGCAGCAAATGTTTTTTTTAACTCATTGAATATATTCTCTCCGGTGACAGTGCCAAACATGCTATGTTTTGAAGCCAGATTTTGTGTTATGTTCATGTCTTAATCCACACCTATAATCAACATAAGCAGTTGCGAGGAAGGAACAGCTGTCCAGCGATTTATCCATTGCAATTACCAAATGGAGAAACTTGCTTGCATTTTTCTCTATTTGAGTCACAATGTTTTTATCAATGTCTGGAACACGGTGGGCAATTGTATTTGCACCCGAAGCTACATTTTGAAATTGTTTTGAATTTATTTTTCTGGGCAAAGTTTCTCAATGAGTTTAAAAAAAACATTTAATTTTAAAACCATGTCTATATCCTGAGATGCCATTTTCCTGACCATTTTGACTTTTGTTATACTTCTCTGATATCTGTTAACTTAGGACTTTGTGAATTTATTTTGCTTATTTGAAACGATCACAATGCTAACATTCCCTCCCTCCCTCCCCCTCCCGCTTCCGTGTGAGAAAATCATATTAATTTATTAAAGAAAATCTAAAAACTTCTTATACTATATAACAGGGTCTCCAAACTACGGCCCATGCAACACAAACACAACACAAACACAACACAAA